GCAGGGTTAGCTCCCAGGAGCTAACCCCACCGCAGCTCCCCCACTAATAGACTGGTCAATGAAAATGCCATTGACTAGACAATTAGTGGATTAAATGTAACATCCCTATGCCAGTTAACTGGTTGACCCTTTCCATCTCTGCCAGGAGCACAGGCCTTCTGTCTCTGGCAGGAATAGACCCTCCTCCAGAAGGGGGAGTGGCTCCCCATCATCTCAATTCCTTCTTCTAAAGACTGAGCCACTCCCCAGCAGTCCCTCTTGCACACCTGAACCCCACATTTTTGGCCCTCACCCCAGAGCCTAAGGGGACCCCACAAAATCAACCAGCCCCAGGTCCCCAGAAGAGTTAATCTGGCCTGGGGTGAACACTGAGCCCCTGCACCTGCACCCCTCCATGGGGCTGGAGGTGAGGGTCTTTTTTCCTCCTCCTCACTTGGGGGCCAGGTGAGAGGTGGGGGGTTCCCCCCCCCCCCCGGGAGACAATTTAGTTTTTTCCTCCCCTCTGCTTCCTATTTGTGTGTGGACTCAGACTGATTTTTCTGTGGGTTAGTGATTCCCAACACAAAAAAGCTCGCCCACCCCTGAGTTAAGTGCTCTCTCTCAAATGGTGTATTTTCACTCATTTTGGATTGCTCAGGTGATGAGAAACCTGAAAGAGGTTTCCCTGTTCTGCCTTCCTGTCTTATTAGGCTAGTTAAATTAAGCCCCACTGTTTCTTCTGTAATGTCAGAGAGAGTACATTTCAAAGCTGAGGGCCTGAAATGCGTGCCCCTGGTTGTTGAGGAAACTGATGTACCTGCTTACAGAGTGTGAAAGCCCCATCTGAAGGTGCAGGAAGAGAGATGATTGACGATCTCTTCCATGGTTTTTCCAGCTTCTTTCCTAACAGCTCTGAAAATGGCAGCTTCCTTTGTTAAAAACTAACTATACAAAATTGAGGAAGCTCTTGCTGCAGCTTTGCATAGTATAGGAAGTGCTGAATAAGCATTCCTTATATTAGCTGGTTGGGAAGTACAAAGATATGAATCATTGAGCTGGAAGAGACCTCAGGAGGTCAAGTCCAGCCCCCTGCCCAAGGCAGGACCAATCCCAACTAAATCAACCCGGCCAGGGCTCTTGTCAACCTGAGACTTAAAAACCTGTATGGATGGAGATTCCACCCCCTCCCTCGGGAACCCATTCCAGTGCTTCACCACCCGCCTAGTGAAATAGTTTTTCCTAATATCCAACCTAGACCACCCCCACTGTAACTTGAGACCATTGCTCCTTGTTCTGCCATCCATCACTACTGCGAACAGCCTCTCTCCATCCTCTTTGGAACCCCCTTCAGGAAGCTGAAGGCTGCTACCAAATCCGCCCTCGCTCTTCTGTTCTGCAGACTAAATAAGCCCAAATCCCTCAGCCTCTTCTCATAAGTCATATGCTCCAGTCCCCTAATCATTTTATCTTGTCTGTAGTGGGGGGCCCAGAACTGGACACAATACTCCAGATGTGGCCTCAGCAGAGCTGAATAAAGGGGAATACTCACTTCTTTAGATCTGCTGGCAATGCTCCTCCTAATGCACCCTAATATGCCATTCGCCTTCTTGGCTACAAGGGCGCCCTGTTGACTCATATCCAGCTTCTCATCCACTGTAACCCCAGGTCCTTTTCTGCAGACCTGCTGCTTAGCCTGTACCAATGCTGGGATTCTTCCTTCCCAAGCACAGGACTCTACACTTGTCCTTGTGGAACTTCATCAGGTTTCTTTTGGCCCAATCCTCTACTCTGTCCAGGTCACTCTGGACTCTCTCCCTGCCCTGCAGGTCTGGGTTAAGGGAGGGGGACTAGCCAGGCAGCTA